GAATAATTGAACCAGACGGTTCATAAGAAAATCAGAACAATTTATCGAGTCCTAATTCAATGAACAATTCTTGTTAGTCTGGCCCATTTTGTGAAAAAGCAGTATTGAAACTTGGTCAAACCTAATAAAGGATTAATTTAAAGTTGAACCAGTTGGACCACACGGTTTAGTCTTATTTTAATTTAAGGTTGAACCACTTGGACCACACGGTTTAGTCTTATTTTAATCTAAGGTTGAACCAGTTGAACCACCCGGTTTAGTCTTATATAATATATTTATTTAAAAATTATTAAGAATTCCAAATTTTTTTTATTTTTTTTCATATCTAACTAAACGTATAAATTTTTAGTAAAATTAGAATTCTATAAATAAAATATCAAAAAATGATTGTCGTGATATATCAGGGTTCAAAAGTGTCTTTGGAATACACTAAATTTTCAGAAATTTTAAGAAATTTATGAGCTTTTCAACAATTTTCCCATTTCTTGGGGCTTTAGGGTTCGTTTGGGGCAGCTTATAAGTGCGGGCATCGTTTTCATGATTGAAAATATCCCCATGATGACAAATGTCAATTTGGGTTAACATGCAATGATGCAAGAGTGTCATACTTGTACCGTTTGGTTTGCGTGTTTTGCCAGCTTATCTGAAATTGTGTTTGGATTTTCACACGAAACGCAGGTCGCGGGTCGACCCTTGCGGCAGACCCGCGGGTCACGTTTCAGGATAAGCAGCTTATCCTGAAACACAAAAGCTGCCCCCAACGGAGCCCCAAACGGACCCTTAGATGATTGAAAATATCCCCATGATAACAAATGTCAATTTGGGTTAACATGCAATGATGCAAGAGTGTCATACTAGCGTAGGGACACCCAGACCCTCGCGGGCATGACAAGGCCACACATGATCGGCTCTGTCTAAGTGGGAGAGTGGTCGAGCCATCCTTCCATGCGCGCAGTTCCCTCTTAATTGGAGCGGAGCCCGCTCCTCTTTACCTCTAAGAGTATATATATGTTATTTGTTGTGTTTAGGTCAATTTTTCTTCAGTTTTTCTGCCATCGGCATATTTCGCTTGCTAGGGTTGTATCCGGTGACAAGTGGTGCTCCAGCTATATTTGTTGCCCTTCCCGAGCCTCATTATTTTTCAACCTATTGTCCCGCCGTTGGATATTCTTTTAACCCCAACTTCCCTAGCCACCGCCACCTTCCACCTCATCCTAGCGAGGTCATTGCATTTGTCGTGATTTTTCCTATTTTCAAGAAACTTTCTTCTTAATCAACTTTGAATTTCAGCAATAATATTATATTTCCGCTGTGAATTGGAATAACTCCGATTTCAAGTGGACCCAAATTTAAGCAAACTTAAACTTATACGACCCAACCCCGACCCACCTATAACATAATCGACTCAAACCTGACCCAACAAACCCATTAACAAATTTATAAATAATTATGCATGGAAAAAATAATAACATAAATACATCATAAGAAATGTCATATCAAACAGTAAATATGAACTAATAGAAATGAATTTAGATATATAGAATGGTAGTTCAATTTGAACATGACTCGAAATTAAATGGGTTAAAATTCTCAACTTGAGAGAGACTCTAAAATTAATCGATGAACTCGAACAAAAAATTTTTGTGTTGGGTTCATGTCAAATTGTCATGTCGCGTTATTTATTAACACCCTACCCATGATAAATTTAACATAAAAATTATAATAAGTGCTAAAATATAATTGCTTGAAATGGTTTTGAAAAACTTCATAATTTTTGAAATAGTTAAGGCACCATAATATGTCGTCCCAAGAGTTTGATTTTTGGTAAATGAATTAATGTTGATCAGTCAACCAAGCCACCTATCAGCCAAATATCAGGCTTGTGGCTACTTGCAGCTAAGACAATGGCCAAAAAGCCATGAGATGACCTCGTTAACATAGTACGCAATCTTATCATAAGATTTGTCCAAATATGTGTCATATGTGGGATCCATCTCAACATAAATCACAAGAACTAGCATGCCAAGTGGTTGACATGTCAATGTCAAATGTTTAAAAGGGTAACCTCTCATCTCTTTTGATTGAGAAAGAGAGAGAGAGGGCGGGGAGGCAGAGAGGGAGGGGGGAGGGAGGTAAGGAGCCAACATTTTAATTACTAACTAGCAGATTAATGGACAGCTCTTTTAATTTCATAATCATTTATATTATCCTATTGATTGATCATCAAGCCCATTTTTAACGACCTAACTAAATATAATCACATAACTAATATAAGTCATGCTGAAGTGGCTAGTTAATGTGATAACTACTTAAAATATTTCGTCTTACTCAATTGAGTTGGCTCGTTTTAACTAGTAGAAATGGTAACTGGTAAGGAACATTGTAGTTTCCTTTCATTAAAATGAATTTAGTAAATTAGTGGATGAGTGGCTTTACACTTAGAGACAAAATGTGAAATAAATATATCCATGATAGGTTGGTGTAGCTCCAATAGCGGACAAAATTAGAGAGTCGTCTTAGATGGTTTGGTCACATTAAACGTCGAACATATGATGATCTGGTTAGGAGAGTAAAAGTTTCATATTTGACTTATGTTAAAAAAGAAAGAGGTAGACCTAGAAAAACTTGGGCATATTGTATAAAAAATTATCTTAATTTATTATAATTAAATGAAAATATGACACTCAATAGGACACAATGAAGAAAAAGGATTCATGTAGCTAACCCTACTTTAGTGGGATAAAGCTTGTTGTTGTTGTTGTGGGGTTAATGAATGTTGATAGGGCCGAACAATTTAGCTATATAAAAAGGGCTTGAATAACAATAGGGCTCCTTCACTAGAGAATGTTGGCTTATTATCATTTTCCTTGTCATTAGTGTCTTTGATGATGATAACCACATTTAAAGAGTTCATAAATCACAAAAAAATGCTAAATATATTAGCAAATACAATGAGAAAACTAGCCACCCTTTTGATGATAACTTTAACTCTATCCAGAGTTTCTACCAAGTTCACAAGCCAACCTCCCTAGACTTGGATATAAAATTCATATGAATATTATTAAGCGAGCCAATTTTGGCAGCATTCGTGGCCAACTTTGACGAAAAAATTATAAGAGATTCATGGGTAGTGACAAGTAGGGTTTCTAAAGACTTTGTGGTTCTTTAACACTAGTTAAAAAAAGAGAAAACGGACAGCTAGATACTAAGATCACAATTCAATTTGACCGATTGAACCATTTTCCTTTTTTTTATACTCAAGATAAACTTTAAAAAATTATATAAAAATGTAAATTTAATTATAAAAATATAAATTAATTTAGAACATTAACTAACATATTAATTGGATTAATTAGGTTCAAGGTTTAACTAGAAAGCCCAATGAGGCACAATTTTGTAGCATAAGGTTTTAAGAAGGTCAATTAAGTCTTAAGCATGAGGTAGGCTAATTAAACTATAACATTAGATAACCAACATTCACGAAAGTGAATATAATATCAAGTAGCCTATTTCCAGCCATTTGAACCCTAAAAGGAAATGCACTAATATGATAAATGAACTTGGATCAATCTTAGGATCCTGTTAGGAGCTTTCTTTGAAAATCTAGCATATATTTGTTTCAAATTATCATCACTAGTATCATCATTAGCCTTATCAAAATTATTTGGATTCAGCTTTAAGAAACGTCATTCACCATACAATCCTTTCAAATTTGATGCTTGAAATGCCCTTTAATATCCCTTCCACATTATTTTGAAGAGAGAAATGTAAAAATAGACCTCTGACTCTTTGTTGAGAGCACTTTAGTCCTAGATTCTATAAAAGTGTCAATTTAACCCCTGGACCCTTTTAAAGGGGTTAATATACTCCTTCAAGAGGACTATATTAAAATAGTTTGGGAACTAACTTGACACTTTTATAGATTTTGGGAAGAAAATGGCCCCATGTAAATAGTTAGGGGACTAATTTGACACTTTACTCTTATTTTCAAATACTTCTCATGTTAACTTCTAACCAACATTTTTCATACATAAACAATCTAACTCTTTCTTCTACCACCTTACCTTAGCTTGGTACTACATAGTCGCTTTCAAATAATATTTATCAAACTATCATTCAACACCTTGCCACGCATCTCTCTCTAACTTCTAATTTCCTAACCCATTCAACTTTAGATGATGATTTCTTTATCACACAAAACTCAAACTCATATAACATTAACAATTTACAAACATACTACTATAAAATTTATCCTGTAAGAGTCGATAATATTCAATTGTAAATAACGCTCTTGAAGCAATTCTTCAATTTGACCACCATGCCTTAACTATAAAAGTAATATCCACCATAATATCAAAATTCTTCAATATCGTATATCAAAGATACTTAAACCCATCATACTTAGATATTACTTGATCTTTTCATAATATTGACTCATACTCAATATCAACCACTAAAATTGTGTATCATTAATTTAAATTTTGTTATGCTGATTTTGGATTCATTATCATATTTTCCCAATTGTTCTAACATTATGCTTATTCTAACAAATTGTTTCAAATAACATTTACGAAGAAACCTCCCATCATACACCCTTTCTTAATATCTCCACAATCAATACAAAAAGCTATGAACTGGATGATAATTCGTGATGTGTAGTCGCAGAATAAATAAGAAATCTTTATTCAGTCTATGACTACTTCTAATTCAAGTCCTGATTTAATCATACATATATTAATTACTTTAATATGTATTTGAAACAGCTCATTTTTGTAGGCGTGCACTAAATCAGATTTCAAACATTGAAAAAGAAAAAAATAAGATTATTACCATCAGATAACATTTACAACCTTAACACATTTGCCTAGCACAGCAGCATTTTAACAAAACAAACAAAGTGCCTTAATTCTAAGTACAAAAGGGAGAAAGGTCCAAAAACAATTTTAGACAATTTAGGCAAAGCTGAGTCATCCTAAAATTCCGTGGTCACAAATACTAACCTGAGAACAAAGCCATTCGACCAGGCCCTTCAACACATCATCAGCACTAGTAAATGTGCTTTTCATATTTGTTGCCTCCCCATTTGAAAGAATGCCAACATGAAATTTGGGGCGTACACTTAAAGACAAAAATTTGTTAGATTTTATTACAAATGCAAATCGCATGCTGATCTCATCATGAAAACAAAAATATTGCGTACCTCATAATAAGAGACAATGTTCTGCAACTCTTTTCCTGTATGAACCAATTTCCACTCCAAAGCCATCTGAAAGCATGATGAAAAATGATTCTCCAACCAAATAAAATGAAAAATGTCATTCTGCACCATCTTAAATGGGTGTTAGACTAGTCATGATTTGCACGTTGCACTGCATGTTGGACCTTTACTAAATAGATTGTAAATTTGGCATGAAGAATTTGAATCTGCGGTTGATTCAGATCAAATTCAATGAGGCAATTAGCAAGCCAAACAAGACTTGAATTGACTTGAATCTAGAATGGATTGAGCCAACTCAAACACGTGCATGTGCATATTAATGGACAAAGAATTTATCTTAGGAGATTGAAAGCCCATCAAAATTGGATCGATTTTTATTCGAATCAAATTAACAAGTTATGCTTAGCCTTAAATTAGATTGAATCAAGCCAGGTTATACCAAACATGATTGGCTTAAGATTGGATCAAAGGACTTTGAATCAATATTGAGCAGGGCATGAGTAGTCTAAAGATCCAATAGTTAGCAGCCCGAAGACTTTTACATAATTAACAAGTTTTATCTAAAATTTTCATGTAAGTTGAAAGTGAGCATATAGAACCTTTTAATACTAGGACTACAATAAACCAAAACAAACATTATCGTGGGAGTGTGGCAAACAGAATGAAATGGACCTAAGAATATTTTCTCACTTTCCCTTTATGAATGTCAAATATAATGCCATAAACTATAAATATTAAGACAAGAAAAATTGTTGAAGCCTCCAACAGCTATCAAAACTAATTATCTCTTCACCGACCACACAACTAGTTTAGATGTTATAAATACTACATGAGCAATGGGTAAAAGAAGTATTTATTAGTATTTTAGAGAAATCAACTTCTTTAAGAGTGAGTAGTTTCTCTCTTTATTTGGTGAGCCTTGTAACCAATGGGAATTTCAGAACCTAATAGCACCTGTTCAGTGTTATTAAATGGAGGAGACAAAGAAAGAGACAAAATGGAGAAGACAGAGCAAGCGATAAAAGGGAGGAGGGAAAAGGGAGGAGGTCGGTTCTGTGCATGTAAGAGGAGACAAAAGAAGGTTGGAAGAAATGGAGTCACAAAGATGGAGAAGAGTAGAAGAGAGAGCACGCAAAGGGGGATTCGAGCCAATTCAAGTTGAAGCAGCACGAATTGGTAAAAGCAGAATTGCAATTAGGAGAAATGAACAATCACACATACAGAATTCTTGTATTGATCGGGAGCAAGGCAGAAGATAGGCTCGAGCAAGCGATGACACTGACTAGAAACGAGCAAACAAGCAAGCAGAGATGGCGAGCAAAATGGTGGTGCAGTCTCGTGACTATCATGAACAAAGCAGCGACACAGGTTTAAGCAAGTTGAATGTGTTGCTCGGGCGATGAGTAAGGTTTGTAGGCAGATTGAGTTGAGGTAATTCTAATTAAGTTTTTCTTTAGTTATGATTACAAATTCCAAATGTTGATCTATCTTTATTTTAAATTTTATTCGAGCTTTTAATCAATAATGATAGTTTAGTACTTAGGGAAGGAAAATACAGAAGTAGAATGCTAATATATGATTCGAAGCAATTCTATAAATTAAATTGGCTGAATTTAAAAAAATTATAAATATAGAATTTATTGGAATTAGGATAATTTTGTGAAACATTTAAAAAAAAAAGTGATATGACTAATTAAATATTTAAAATCACAGAAATTATATGGTGAATATTATTTTAGTTTCCTCAAAATTAATAAATCATAACAATTATATATATATTAAATGTGCGGTATAACTAGAAAATATAATAATAAACTAATAGAAATGTGAGTGTTAGGATTCATGAATTTATTATAATGTATTAAATTAGAGATTGAATGATTAATGATATTATAGGAATAAAAAGATCAGCTAAATAAAAAATTAATTATGATGAATTTTTTTTTATAAGTATCAAATTTGAGAAGATAAAGTCTGAATAAAAAGATAAATTAATTCACCTATGATCGAGGAGAGTACTCTTACCTCAAAATTATAGTAGTATTTTTGCTTATTTTAAACCAATTGTACGGACAGTTATTGATATTTTTTTAACTTCATGACATTTTTAATTTGATGATTACATATGCAAGTCGACAAATGGAGTTTACCCCCTTATGAAACTAATTTAGAATGTATAAATGCATGTAGACATAAAAACAATATTGATATTGACATACATTTATGGTACAATTTAGACGATGCTTCTAATAAAGAATATATTGTATAAAGTTGTGAATTTTTTTGAAAGATCAAATTTGAATAATAAATTGTTAATCGATTATATTCTAATCAACTATATTTGACTATAGCATGTATGTTGATTTCTATTTATGTTATGTTGTTGTAATTTAAATATATGAGTATTTGTTGAGAATTTGATAACTCATAAAAATTTAAATAAACATTTTTGGGTTTAAACCTTAAGCTAGAAAAAGAGTGATAGACGAGAAAATTATTATAGAAGACGCAACCAACTGAGATAAAGTAATCATATGTTCATAATAGCTTTATTTGTTAATTTGATTTAATTTTTAATCGTTAACGAACCCTTCAATATTTAATTTGATTTCGTTATCCGAACTTGAAAATTTCAAACCCTCTGGTCAAGAAAGTTGTGTTGTGAGATCTACGTGACACATTTACATGGTTTTTGAGACTTGAGAGTATGAAAGTTGTGTTGTGATTTATGCCCATGAATTGAAAAGTTATCCAAATTTTGATTATTTGTAAAAAATATTGTCTTCAAAACTTGGGAAATATTTCACTTTGAGTCTTGAAAGTATCGCATGCTAGCTTTTTGCATGCATATGTTGTGGGATTGGCTATAAAGGACACATTTTAGAGTCATATCATGCATTTTAAAGCTGTAAAAATCTTTTTATGTATATGGCTGGATTTTACTTAGTTCCCATGGGAAAGTAAATTTTCTCCTACAAATAGGAGGCTCCTTTAGTTCATCTTCACGTTCCAAGTTTCTAGTATCCATGTATAAGGTCCTAGGTGTCCTTAAGATTCCTAAAGGCAGGTCTCTGCCTGTGCTCATGTGTAAGCCATTAGTTTGTAAAGAGTTCGCCATAAGTTCTTGTGTTCGAGTTCAATTCTTATTCAAAATTGCTTGTATGACATTTAAGACGTTTAAATTTTTCTCTTCACTAGCATTTTGGCTCTTTAAATTGCGCATGTTTGTGTTCATAGAGGTTTATTTGGGTATAACCCCTATACTTCGATTCCATATCCATTTCAGTAACCTCCAAATGTCTTCCACGATTAGAGGGGCGTAGAGGGAACTATTAGACCTATCCGCCCAAATTAAAAACATATGAATAGTCGATTTCATTGGACACTATGATCTGAGATTTTCCCATAACGCATGAAAAAGCATGTAGATGCCTTCAATACCTGCACAAGAAAAAAAGAAAAAAAGTTTCCTCGTCTGAATGGAAAACTGCACACAAATAACTATTCTTGCATTTTTTCAACCTTATTGGAATAAAGCTCACAAGAACTTATGTTTTGGCATGAAAAGTCTGCATGATGGCATAGAAGATGTGTGACAAGGAGTTTAAAACGATGTCAAATGCACTTTTTTTTCTCTTTTTTTATTTTTTTCTTTCTTTTTTCCTCTTCTTTTTTTATTTTCCTTTGTTTTTCTCTTTTCTATATGTTGCCTTTTTCATTTACCAGAGAGATAATAGCCAGGATAAAAGGATGGAAAGGGAAAAGAGAGATAAAAAATGTAATGAGAAGAAGATGGTCGGAGAGACTAAGAGAAATTTTAGAGAGATGGAAAAGGGTTGACTTGGTTTAATAGTCAGCCTAAAAAAAAAATGAGAGGGGATGAATTTGATAGGTTGCCAGCATGTGGAAGACAAAAGATTGATGGCGCCATAATTGGGTTTGAAGAGCAAAGAATGATATAGAGGTGGAACCAGAGAAAAGATGATTGTGGATATTAGGTAGGTGGTTGAAGTTGAGAGAGATTTGAGGGAGAAATGCAACTGTCAATGGGAGAGTCTGAGATATGGAGTTGGGAGATTGAGGGTGTGCAAGTTGTACGATTAGTGGAGATTGGAGAGGAAGACGAGGGAGAGAAAAGAGACAAAAACAGTCGACAAAGTTCTAATGAGCAGGTAAGCGACACCATAGGAGTTGCGAGTGCAAAAGAGAGGGAACTGCTGGGATTTTGTTGCGGCTAAAAGAAGCTACAACTGTAAGATGAGGAGCAAATTGGAATTGTGTGGAGTTTTCACAAAATGCTGGTCCCGTTGCTTTGCCATCAAGGGTTGTGGAAATTTGGTTGAAGCCAGGGGGTAACGAAAAAGAGGAAAAAGACAAATGAGATTGTGCACATAGAAGAGCTATGGACTTACGTGGAAAGGTTGGAGTTTATGTGTGGGCTCTTAGGCAGAGAGGTTCAAGAAGAGGAGAGGCATGTATGCAAGAACCAAACTGGGAGATAATGATTTTAAGGAAAAATTTTTCAACGAATAGGACATCATGCGACAACGTTAAAGGGTCGTAGGTGTTGGAATCCCAAGATTTGATCGCGTGCATCTACTTAATGTGGGATTTGGATGGGGATTAAGTTGATGTAATTGTATTTCTCAAATAAATTTAATCAAATGAAACAAAAATATAAAATCAACGTTTCAATTAATCCCTTATACAATCCCTCATTCCTTGTGAGTCTCAAATCGCATTTTGTTGCCTTAGAAGTGGACAATTATTATGCTTTCGTTCAGTGTGGTGAAAAGGGCAATATTGGTGTCCTCCCTTAATAATTTTAAGGTTACGAATGCATCAACGCTTTCCATTTATTGAAATGAGCAATAATTGAGCATCATTACCTCATGTCATGTTCATAATGTCATTTTCACGTGTTAGTTATTTGGCAATGTGGGATATCTTTTCGGGCATTTTTATTGTGGGGATATCAACAAAGTTTTTTATATGATACAGACAACATTTTGATGACTTTGATTTGTGCAATGTGTTTTGGGCTTGA